CAGTTTTGGCCCCCCTACTTCTGAAGGGACATGGATAAACTTGAGAGAGTCCAAAGGAGAGTCACCTGCATGATCAAAGGCCAAGAGAGCAAGCCTTACTAAGAGAGGCTGAGGGACATGGGCTTTTCAGCCTGGAGAAGAGAAGGCTCAGGAGGGATTTGGTGGCAGCCTATAAGTATTTAAGGGGCATGGACCAGGATCTGGGAGAACAGTTGTTCACCAGGGCTTCCCAAGAGATAACTAGATCCAACAGCCACAAACTTCTGGAAGGCTGATTTAGACTGGACATGAGGAAAAACTTTACAGTCCAAGCGTCCAGGGAGGTAGTGCAAGCACCTACTCTGGACTCATTCAAAAGGCGTCTGGATGTTTATCTTGCTGAGATCATTTGACCCCAGCAGACTTCCTGCCTATGGCAGAGGTCTGAACTCGATGATCTCGCGAGGTCCCTTCCAGCCCCTAATGTCTATGAAGTCTATGAAGAAAATAATCACAGAAGCAAAATTCTGCATAGGAGGTGGCACAAAATTACTGTGAGTAGGAATAAAGTAAATTTAGACTTCTGGGAGCTATAGTTAATGTTTGGTTTTGTTTATCTCTAAAATGTTGTTGCATTATTTTGCACATTAGGTTTATAAAGTACTAATTGCTTCCTATTCCATGAAAATGAAGCAATCTGGAAATGGTTATTGGAACAGTGATCAAAAAGAAAAGCTGGGATAAGGAAGATGCAACACTCGTTAAGGAATTAAAACAATTTTTTTAGAGGAATTTGCATTAGGCATCTACTTTAAAAAAATCTAAAATTTACCATAAAAGTAAAATGCAAATTAGCAGTGTGTTTGCAAAAGTAAAAATTGTAATGAATCAGATATGATATGGCTTTGGCATAATATGCCTACCCTATGAGGATTTTGAAGCCTTCATTAAAATAATAGCTCATTTAACGATGTATGCAATGTGAATATGTATGTAATATCAGGAATTATTCTGGGCTATATATAAACAGTAGCATAGTAATAGGCATGTGCAAATTTTGGGCAATACCCAAATTGATAAGTTACAGAAAAAAAACAGCTCTTTTTTGGCTAAAGGTTTTGAAATATTATGGAATGGAGACTTACATAGCTATCTTACTGTGTTCACACGAGTTTGAATAAGGAGTTATTCAAACTGGGACAAGGAAAATATGTAAATTCTGCAGAGTTTTAAAATAATGAAGCATAAACTGTTTAGTTCAAGGATTTCAACCTGCTCTTAGTGTGATTATGATGAATAGGCTAATAAGACTTCTCTGTTCAGAGGTAGTAGGGCTTGTAGAATTTTCTGAGCCCAATTTACAGTTCCAAGGACTTCATGCAAGAAAGAACTTTTGGTGCCTTTTTGGCATTTATGCAGCAGTACTTTTCCAGGCAGTTCGTATATACATTTCCCAGAAAAAAAAACGTTTACTATTCCAGACCACAAGGGGGAGAAATTTGATTTCAAGATTTCAGAATATTTCTTAGGGGGAAAAAAAGGTCAAAACTTATTAAGGTGATTTTTAGAAGGTTATCTACAACTGTTCTTCCCCAAACAAAGTATGGTCAAATGCCCTAAGTAGCTAAGAAAAGGGAGGTACTTAGCACAACTGCTTTGTAAATGCTTGGGGTGTCTTCAAAAGATCAGCTTCTACACCCAAAGCATCCCATCAAGTCACAGTTCATAGTGACTTCTTGACTGACAGAATCCTGATTCAACTTCGACATTGCTATACTCCTATATAATTGTAAAATACACTATCATAAACTGTATAACATAGTGCAGTTAACACTAACGTGGTTAACTAGGTTACTTGTAGGATCATCAATCTTTGTATCTCCTGAATATGTTTTTAACTCTGCAGTTTTCTAATGCTGTGTGTGTCTAGATCCTTGGCTTCTCCTCTAATTTATACTTGCCACCCTTTGTTAAGTTTATGAAAAGGATTATGTGACATGGTTGCCTGCAAGATCAGGGAACTGAACTCTTTCATCTTAATCTTGTTTTGCATGCTGCTTTTTTAGTTAGCCCAAAAGACTTCATATCATTTGGTAGATGCTACTTTTTTGCTCACCAGACTATACTTTAGCTTATTTAATTAAGAATTTCTATAGGTAACGTATATCTTTGCATTCTTAATTTTTACATGTTTTCTTATGTTAGAGAACATTGAATGAAACATTTCCCATTTACTAGATTAGGGTTCTCCAACTTGTGGCCCATGCAATCCACAAGGGGTTAATTTGTAGCCTCCCAAGCTGCTACCTGGCCACTGCTCCTCCCCCTTGCTCCAGCTGCAGCACAGCTGGGGTCTCAGTGCTCCCTACCCTCATCCGCCTTCCACTTCCTGCCCCCACTCTGGGGAGGAGGGCACCACAGCATAGCCCACCCTTCTGGGGGGAGCCTGCAGACTAGACCACCTACACAGCATGCTGCAGTGAGGGAGCCCGTGACCAAGGTACCTGCACCCACACAATGCAGCAGGAAGGATGCCACATGTGCACAGGATGCTGGTGCCTATGCATGGAGCGCAGTGGAGTGGGGAGCCTGCACAGCATGTGGCCCCCAGCTTCAGCCACTTAGAAATTAGACATCCTTGTACTGTTAAATAATTAACTTGCATTTGCATAGAGATATAAATTTGCATGGGGATATACATTTGGATAGTAAATAGACTCAAAATATTGAAGTAATATTTTAAATTGTTGTTATTAAATAAATCTGCTTTGAATGTGCTGGCTATATACAGGAAAATGTTTATCAAACTGTTCTGCATTTGAATTTGGTCTATAGTGGTATGTGTGTGTGTACGTGTGCATATATAGCTAGTGAGAGAAACTTCAATACTTCAGAGCTAGGAGATATATTCACGCCTCATTTTTATTCAGTGATTGAAGTAGAAAAACAAACTTTCCTGCCTTTTCAACTCCCAGTCACTCAACTTTCAATGAGCTAGTCATTGAACCAAAATAGAACTTAATTTGTTTTTATTATGATTATTATCCATCCAAGAGTTTTCCTGATAATTCTCCCCACAGAACTAGTCATGTTTGTTTAAAAGGGAAAAATGAACTGTGGTATCACATAGAAAGTTGGGCTGCAATAGGCTGCTAAAGTTTCACTGGATGATTTGGTCTGGCACAGTTTTTCAGTTAAACTTCTTGTTCTCGTCAGTCCTATTGTACAGTCTGTGCCCCTTACTAGTTTCTAGTCTGTGATTATTAAGTGAATAGTTGGCTGAATTGTAGTCGCTCCTCAGAGGAGAGTAATCCACAGCCAAAACTTGCTAAGCTGTGCTTTGAATTTTGTGATATGCAGCTGCTACCATCATAGAGAATCCAATTATGAAAGAAGATTAAAGGAGTTTGATTTATGTAGCTTAAAATGGAGAGGAAATGTGATTACTCTTTACAAGTGCACTCATGGACTGAAATATTAGGGAGGGGAAAAGCTTTCTAGGCTGAAAACACTTGTATACGTTCAAGAGGCTACAAAATGGTGACAGAAATTTAGATTGAAATCTCATTTCCAGTTGGAGAGGAAGGTTTTGGAGGTCTTCTGAGCCAGGTAGCAAGGGCAAAAAACCTGAATTGCTTTAAGATTGAATTGGATATATTTATGGAAGGAACAGTATGACAGGACAACGATTCTGGCTCAGTGATCAGTATGTTTGTTATGTGGAATCGTGTATTTGAAATCCCTGGGTTAAGGTAAAAAGCAGTATTAGAGTGATATAGCCATGATGGTCCAGGAATTGTGTAAAAGGCAAGGATTTCTTAGGGTGAAATCTTTTATTGAACTGACTGCATAGTTGGGATAGAGTTAGACAAGCTTTTGAATGCAAGACATCCTTCATCAGGTCTGGGAAGTAAAGGGCAGCACAGCATAGTAAAAAATAATTGGGCATGGGAGGGGAGAAATTTCCAAAGGTAGCAGATAAACAATTAACAGAAAAAAAGAAGCTGATTACTGGGAGATCAAGGCCTTTCAAAAAGAAGGAGGGTTGTTATCACCTTTCCTGTGTGGGAAGAAGAATTCAGGAAGCAGGTAAGTCATCATAATGTGCCTTTGTAACAGAGAGCCTGGGGGGCTCCCTGTGCCTTCAAGATAAAAGCAGCCCAGCCAGGGTGCACTGCAGGCTAGGCAAGAGCAAGGGGGCAAATGAGACAATTAGTAGGCATTGGCATGCAACCTGTTTACTGGAAGTGGGCAGGGCCCCCGAGAGGATTTAAGCCTGGGGCTTGGGCTAGCAAGCCAGTCTAGCCCTGCCAGCCTCAGGGTTAGGAGCTCCTGCCCAGGAGAGCTACCCAGGGACACTAGACCCTCTGCTTTGCTGCCTGCAGGAACACTGAGACTTGGGGAGCGCACAAAGGTCATTTGTATACATGCTTGCGCCTGGCGTTGTTGGGCATACAGTTGTATAAGTGGCAAAATGCGCGTCAGCGCTGAGAAAATGGCAGCAGAGTGCTTTTGAAATAAAACAAATAGGTGTTTTAGTTCAAAAGCACACCACCACCATTTTCTGCGGCGGTGTATTCCTTATTCTAATTTTTTATAAAAGTGCACTGTAAATTGTATAGCCAGCCATCTGCCCGCACTACAGGGGAAAAACTAAACAACAAATTCCAGAACAAATAAGTTCTCTCTGTTAGCAGCAGTTGCTATTTAAATATTAAACATTTCCTTGATAGATGTAGTTAGTTTGATCACTACTTCCCATGTTTAGTAAAGGAGGAGTGTTAAAAATATGTCTGCAAAGTAAAAAAAAAAAAAAAAATTATCAAGACCTAGGAATATCCTCTAGGTAACTTTTTAATATTTTAACTTTAAAAGGGCTTTATTGAATTTCATAAGCATCAAGGCTTACTGTTATTTTTAAATACTTCTGTATAAAGGAATTTGGCATAGAAAGTATTGAATGCATATAAGTTGTTATATGTGTCTTAAAACTAATATGTGGAGTTTTTAATTATTTTTAGGAACTGGTGAAAGAGAAGATAAAGCGACAACTGACTAAACAACAGAAAGCTGCTCAGCGGCGACGGTTGCAGAAGGGAGAGGCAAATATTTATACTAAACAGCGGCGAGAAAATATGCACAACATTAAGTCAAGTTTGGATGCAACTAGTTTTTGGGGCTAGATAATTGAAACTTGCCATAGAGCATTAGCATTTTTGTCCACAGTTCATGAATCGGAGAAAAACAGACTACACAGCAGTAACTTTTTGTAAATTGGAATGTGCATATATTCAATAAATGTCCTTGCTACAGTAACCTTTTTGTTTTGTGTTTTGTATTGTAGTCAAAGCCTAACTTAAGTCAGTGGTAAGGGGGCACAGTGAATATAGGTACACTGAAGTAATAACCTAGAGTATTTTTTATAAGCGGATTTTACTGTAGTGATTAGATTGAGATTCTTAATAGAGCAAGAGTGCCAAAAACACAAGACATTGTGGCAATTAATGCTGTTGCCACTCATTCCACTGCCAAATTTTGAGCTCTGTAAGCAGGATCTAGAGCACAAAACCATATCATCTGACTAGCAGGGTCACCCATGGATCTGGAAATCTGACAGTGGCGGGGAGCTTTGGCTCTAGGAGCCACAACACTTAACACTGCTGCAGTGGGCCAGATGACATGGCCCTCTGCTCCGGATTGGGCCCAAGGCCCAGCCTGTGGGACTAGATGAGCTTGATGCCCCTGTAACAAAGGGCTCCTTTTCAAAACCTATTTTAACAATTCCAAGAAACGGGAGGGAAAATCCCCGCTCATATATTATTTGAGTTTAGTTGAAGAGTCTTTATCATGTGCACCTGAAAACAACCAAGGTTATTAACACCTTCACAGAATCTTAGTCTTTGTACTCATACAAAGACTAATAATCCTTATATTAAGAGGAGAGCTTTGAACTCAGAGACTCTTATTTATTGTCCCTTCGCTCCAAGGCTTGGTGCATAAATGCATCGAAAAATTAGAGGTAAAAATGATGTTGTACAGGTCTGGCAGTCACTCAGCCTCTCAGTTTGTCGATGTAGTTGCCAATGAATGCAGATCTTGTGCATCTTTTCCATGATCATCTGCAAAAGACTATATACCTGTCTTTATTGCCATGGTTTACAGATAATAATTTTCTCTTGTATTTTGAAAATCTAGAACAGGGCTTCCCAACTTTTTCCTCAGCATGACCCCTTTTAAACGTTGGAAATTTGTTGCGACCCCAAAATGATGCAGACAAGATCAAGAAGTCATAAATGGCATTACAGTGTTTGTGATCTTTATATTTTTCATTTAAAACCTTTGACATCATTTTAACTTCTTTTTAGATTTAAAAAACAATGTTGAATACAAAGTCTAAAAAGGCTATTAAATGCATTCATTTGACATTTATTTCAATTGCTTTAACTATTGATTATATTTACTGTGCCACCATACTGTTAACCTTAGATGTCACAGTTGCTAAATTGAGACTTAAAAATATATAATGCACAGAAATTATACAGGAAACTAAACTGCCATTATTTTTCACTGTTGATGTTGCTAACCTTGCTCAATACAACCATCTGCTAAACTCCCACTAACAATAAAGCAATACAAACCAAAAGAAAAAAAATGCAGCATACTTGATAACGTACTCTTTTAACCAGAAAAACAGTAAATGTCGTACTATATTCAATGATGTGCCAGAGAAAATAAATGTGTGTGTGTATATATATTTTTATATAGATAGATATAGTTTATCAATGCAAATTATACCTTATTCCAACTAAAATGTTAAACCACAAACAACACACATGGAAGAAGCCCTGAACATTAAACTGATATTACCTAGTGTAGGAATTAGCTAGCAGATAAACATAGTTATATGCAAATTCTCGTGCTAAGTGACATAAAAGCTTTACTGTTACCTGAGCTCGTGTGACACCTGGGCCTGAGCATCCCAACACAACTTGTCAAAGTTTAGTTTTGTGGTAGAACAATGCAATAACTCACTTCAAATGAGGCCCTTGGTGACTGCACTGACACAGACCATAGCAGTCTTGAATTTTAATTTATGGCAAGACAATTCCTTTACATATCGCTTGAAAAACGGCCTTGGCTTTCTTCGTGTTCTTTGTGAACTCAGGTGGCATTTAAGTTTATTAGGTTTCATGCTCTCTGCGGACAAAACAACCTGGCACAAAACACACTGCAGCCTTTTTTTCCCCACTCACCTCAGTACTTGTAAATCCAAGCCCAATGAAGTATTCATCACATTCCCGCTTTCGTGTCTTGCACTACTTTTGTTTCCTGTTCTCATCCTTGTCGTTAGTTTTACTGCTAGAGCTCGAAGCAGAAACTTTTTGGAAAAAACATCCATGTTAGATTTTTCTGTCATATAAAACGTATTTCAGCCAGCCAACAGCAACATACTGATTTTACATCAGCTTCCTGTAATGTGTAGAAGCGCCTTGCATCGCAGCTGCAACTGTTGTGTGTATATAACTACCATGTGTAAATAACTACCATGCACAAGATATTGCATATTTATAAACAGGAAGCATATTCATTATAATCGGTCAACACTGTCAAGTATCTTTGCAACCCCATTTTTTATCATTGGGAACCACTGATCTAGAAAGAGAAAAACGCGTTCAGCTTACACTAAGAAGCTTAGGCCAGACAAAAAGATGGAGTTAAAGGTTTTTAAAAATCTAATACATTTTTGGTGGAAAACACATGAGAGAGATTTGTTAGTGTTGAAATGATGTTGTAGCCATGATGGTCTAGGACAGTGTTTCTCAACCCATGGGTTGCGACCCATAAGTGGGTCACAAGAATAGTTCATAGGGTCGCAAGCTGCTGCAGGACAGAGGGCTGGCAGGAAAGGGGAAGCATGGGAAGGGCGTGGGGGAGAGCTGCATGGCTCAGCTGGCAGCACCAAGGCTGGTGCCTGTGCTTGTCAGGGTCAGGTGGCTGGAAAACTCTCTTGGGGGGCAGGAGCAGCCATGATCAGGCTGCCTGGCATGGTGCAGCAGCCCCAGCCCAAAGTGGGGTGGCGGGTGTGCAACAGGCCTCTCCTCCTCCCTCTAGCCTGTGCTGGGGCCAGGCTCATTCCACTGCCACCCACATGAGCCAGAACCACCGCAGCCCACCATGCTCTGCCCTAAGCAGGATGGGAGCAGCTGGGGGCCCCTGCAACAGAGCTGGGGGGGTAGGGGGCTAGGGGTTGGGAGTGAGGAACACCAGCATGGCCTGGGGGAGGGCAGCAGGGGACTGAGGGTCAGGAGTGTGTGGGTCGGGACAGGCCATGGATCTTTGCCAATGGGTCCCAATAGACCAGTGGTTTTCAACCTTTTTTCTAAGAAATGTACGAGAAGCAAGGATTTCTGTGGGTGATCTCTTTTATTGAATCAACTGCATAGCTGAGATACATTTATACCAGCTTTCAAATGCAAGGCATTCTTCAAGGTCATTCTTCTTCAGAACCTTGTTTATACAGAAGGATAAAGGGAACTGGAAGCCAGTCCTGAAATTCAAAAATAGTCAAAATAAGAAATTAGAACAAATAGAAAAAGTGTTCTCATTTTCCTTTGACCTTCTATTCCATCTTCCTGTGTAAGATGGAGACATTATGAATGAATTTTTGTCTGTAACTATACAGCTATCTTAAACTATTTTACTTGCATAGTTTCCTTGCAGAGTTAAACCCTAGACTGGTGTTATAGTCATCTTTGCTCCTTATGTGAACTAATTTTTGCCTCAAAGAAATTACAACCTCCTACTGACTACCTACATTTCATAGTATGACCACTTTACTTTTGAAATCTTCTATACTATTTGGAATTATCCATTATTGCTTATTAAAAATGTAAGAGCTCATCTCTACCAGCAGATGCATGTCGTTCTAAAAAAATGCAGTAGCAGCTTACTAAATAAGATATAAATGACAAGTGCACTTCAACATATGTCTGCAACAGTGTAGAATTAGTCTTTTGACAAACGTAAGTACATCTGATTAATTCCACAACAATTTTCAGGTCTTTGACATGATGAAATGTATGTGTATGATATTGTTATGATCGATAATACTGGGATAGAATTAGGATTGTTGTTGAAACACCTTAATTGTACAGTTCCAAACTTAAAGAGAAAAGGAGGAAAAAAACCCACTTGCAGAGCTTTTAAATTTTAGTTTATCTTTGAAATTACCAGAGTCTATCACATTTAAGAAAAGTGACTGGTTTTGATATCCCCCAATAACAGCATTACAAGGAATAAAACAAAAACAAGAAGAAAAGCAGTTTGATTTTGGATGAGCTGCTCTTGGTTTCAAGTTCAGATTTTTTCAGTGAGTGAGCAAGCATTTATTTTTTTCCTGGTATGCAAACTTCAGTAGTGAAATCTTTCAATGGATGTTAGTAATTAGTTGCAAAAATAAATATACAAAGGATGTTCAAATTGATTCAACTCCCCCTCTCAAAGAGAAGGACTGATGGAAATCCATTATGTTTATTTTTCAAATATTTCTTTGAAGCATCCATTAAGTCTTAGAGGTATTCTAATGAATGACCATAAAGGAATCATTTTCACTCAGCCTGTCAGGGTACTTGAATTAAAACATTTCTCTTCCGAGACTGTAGTTAGCCAGGGAGGAACTGAACCTCAAAGTTATAGCTTAATATATCTTTATTAAACCTTTTTTTCATTAGCAAAATTCCTGAAATATCTGAAGTCATCAAGGTCATGATGAAGTTTACACAAGGACTGAACTTTGCAGTGCCCAGTTTATATTTCATATGTGGACATTCAAACAAAGTTTACTTTATTTAGGGTAAACTTTGGGAAACATGGAGGTTAAATTAATATTGTTCTTGACAGTCTTAACAAATTCATGTATTTACCATTTAGCGGGCATCCCTTGATTTTATCATAATGGTTTAAATGCATCATTTTAAGAGCCCCACTTAAAGTAACCGTAGCAGTTTTACAGCTTTTGTAGGCAGTCAAGGATGCTAAAATCAATTCAGAGCAAACAAAAAGGCACCTCTTGTAAATAAATACCCATCTTTCAGGCACAGCATACGTCAAAGACCTCTGAATTAAAAGAAATAGAGATGTTTTATAACAGTTGCCAACATGTTTGACTTACCACCAAAAATTAATTTGTATTGGGAAATCAGGAAATATGCACAGGGGGTCAAACATTACAAAGGTAGTTATATTCTCTGTATTCTAAAGATTGATTTTTATATGTGCCATTCCTAGTCTTACTTTTATGTCTATACTGGGCAGGCTTTACTAGTTTAGAAATAACTGCAGACTGTATCACCAAAGTATTCCTAGTGTGGACATGGTTATATCAGCATAATAAAAGCAAGTGAAATCAGCAATGCCAATAGAAGCTCTGTTTGGGGAATATAATTGCATCTAAAGTAGGAGGTTTTCATTAGTTCAGCTACATCTGTCAAAGTTAACACCTTTAGTATTCCTGCCCAATGCAGGTAGACAATATGAGTGCGCGAAATGGACTGTATTCAATTCAGATTCGGACAGAACTGGGAGACAGTGATTCGATCTGTTGATTCAGATCACTGTCCCGATTTAATTCGGCTGAATCTGAAGATTCGATGCTGATTCAGAGAATCAGTGATTCGGCCATAGACATAGCTTTAAATGTTTTTAAGCTATGTACCTCAAGGTACCAGGCACGGCTCATGAACGCTGAGATGGTGGGGCAAATGGAGCGTCCCACAGGAGTGCAGGGGGTCCCCCTCCTCCATGCCCCCTCCAGCTCAGCGATCAGCCATGGGGGGGGACCCTGAGTGTCCCCTGCCAGACCCAACAGGCACCAGTTGCTGAGCTTCTGATCCACTTCCAGATCCGCCACCAAGGGCACTGGGGACCCGCCCACTCTCCCATGGGATGCTCCATCCACCCTGGCATCTCAGCATTCACGAGCACCTGGTACCTTGTAGTATGTAGAAAAAACATTTAAAGCTGTGTCTATGTCTGAATTACCGAATCTCTCCACATTGATTCAGAGGGATCTGATTTAATTTAGAGAGATTAAAGGGTCTCCTGATTCAGTTTGGATTCAGAAATTCAGCTGCTGAATCGGGCCAAATCTCCACCTAATCGAATCGGCGTAGTTACAGCCATTCCTAGACATAGACATAAACATTTTTTTTTTTTTTTGGTTTTTCTTTTTTTTTTCTTGTATTTTAATCTACCAAACCTAGGACTTGGAGTCAAAATATGATTTTTTTTTCCTAGTTTTGAGAGAGATCTTGGATTCTCATATATACATCAGACTCTTCCCATGTATACATCAGACTTCAAACATTTGTTTCACTATGTTTCCAAAAAGATTGAAGTAGAGTAGCAGTTCATCATTATCCTGTGAGGTAAATTGCAGTTTTTTGGCATCTAAATGTATGTGGGCTAATTAAGAAACATCCCAACAAAACACAAATCAAGATAACATGATTATAACAAAGACATTTTGTTAAAGCAGCTATTTTTTCTGTATCCAATTTGACCTGGAAATATAGAAGCATTATTGATGTTACTGAATTAAAATAGGAAGGAAAAGTAAGTAATTTGTTCAATTTATACCCATTATTTTTATTTTTTAAATAAAGGTCTGGGTTATTTCATTGCTAAAGGAATCGGGAGTGTTCTGCACAACTCTGAAGGTTAGCTAAGGGGTTTCTTAAATCCTCAATCTTGTTGTATAATTGACAAGAGGGAGGACTTTTTTTATTATTAATCTGGTGGACATCAAAGCTGTCTGCTCCAACACATTCAGTCAATATCTAGATGAAAAGAGGAATGTCTTTCACATGATTAACTTCTCTAGCTAGCCTGTAGGTGGGTGTGTTTAACAGAAGGAAGCAGTAGGAATGAGCCTGTCAGCCTGCCTTTACAACTAATTAGCTCAGCATACAACAAAGATAAGCGATCCGGGGAGGAGGACCCCCTGAAGGTTCTTTCAATTCTGGGAAATGTCTGAGTGGCAGATGTTAAGAGATCCTTTAGAAGTCCAGTTCATCAATGTACTGCACACATTCAGCACAGGACTGGAATAATTCAGGCATGAGGACACTTTTTGGGTGCACTCTGGAAAAGCAGAACCAAGATGGACAGAACCTTGGAATCTCTGCAAAATATAATTGCCCAAGTACTGCCTCATAGAGACCCTGCCCTCGTATTTAAAGACTGTAAGTATCAAAGAGAATTTCTTGACTTCTCAAACAACAGCACTGCACAAGTTGCTAAGTTTGTTACAGGTAAGACACTGAGGAGTAGTACTGTGGCACATCTTTAGTTTAACTCTGCCTCTTCTATTTTCTGCATTTTTTTTCGTTTGACTTAAGTTTATATGCTAAAGAGCTAATGGATTTTTCAAGCTTTTTTTTTTTTAACTGATAATTTGATTAAATTAGAGCGAAGTTTTAGGACCAAACTGTTTTCAGATCTTTATTTTTTGGCAATAACAGAAAATGTAGTTCTACACCAGAAATGTTCTTCCTCAGCTAATTAGTTTGTCATGTTCAATCAGGTATTTATTCTATATGGTTAATGTTTCCTGTGAAATTTTCCAAATGCTGAATATTAAAACCTGAGCACTTCTGTTTAGATAGAGGCAATAGCAGCACAGCAGTTATTTAAACATAACTTGATCTGCATATAAACAGGATGTGACTTTCCTCCCTAAGACGTTTGAACAAAATAAACTCCCCTTTTATCCGATAGCTAAATCATTTTTGACAGCCTTACTAGTTTTCTTTTGAATCGTGGTACATAACTGTTATATAAAAGCTCTGTAATTTTAGAAATGATATTAAACTGCTTCTGTAACTTTGTTTCTTAAACTGATATGATTAACTGCTGCATAATAAACAGGCCCTATTCACCTTTTAAAAAAGCTGGAACAGTTAAAAAAAAGGCTTATTCCTTCATTATGGAATGACCATCACTGGGTCTTGGAGTGAATAAAGGTATACAAGTTTTTCACATACAGTTTCTTATTGAGGTTTCATATGCCAGTGCCTGAAGAAATAAAGAGTTGAGAAGCAACATATCAATTGGCAAAATCAGTGAAACCATACTTAAATCCTTTTATTTTTCAGCTTCTGCCCTTGTAAATGGGATCAATTAGTTTCTGTGTCCCTAAAGACAGTTTTCAGTTTATACTTTTTACTTTCTGATTGTTAAATTATGGTGCTTGCCAGGTGTAATTTTAGACTAAATTGCTCACTTCTGTGATGTTCAAAGATAGGGCAGACATAGCTTTGGGCTCTGGGAACATTTTTCTTCACATATAAATCTAATTGTAGTCTACTTTGCACCCTCAGGCGCAGTGTGGAAGGCATTTATTTAATCCCTGCTTTATTCATTTGTCAACAGCTACATTAGAGTTAATAAAATCAATCTTAGGCTATCAACTGTTTCTTTCAAACTTGGTATGGGAGAAATTACTTTAAGTACACTGCTGTTATAGGAATTGAAGGAAATGCATGTATTCATTATATTAAACCCTCCTAATGGCCAGATTCCAATACTCTGACACTCACTGAAAAATATCTGACTGCATAAATATTCCCATTGATATCAATAGGAGCACTAATGTAGTAAGCTGCTATGCAAAATAATGAAGGTATTGGAATCTGGCCTTAAAATAAGAGTTAGACATCTGTTTCTCAGGCCACCCAGCAGGACAACTTTGCGCTGCTGTGATACAAATGTGCAGTGCTGCAGTCCAGGGACCATGCCCTAAAAGCTTGCAAGAGTAGACACATTACAGCACCAAAGAATCTGATTTCAATGAGGGGAAAAGCATACTTCTTTCTGAGTATCCATTGGTAACCAGTTCCTGCAGATCAACTGACATGATTTTGATTGAAAGTGCATGTCCCAACAGCCCAGGCAACAATACAGTGACCACCCACAGACCTAGGGAGTAGGAGAGATGGTTAAATAAAACAGCAAAAGCAGATGCCCAAATTAAAGAGGGTTTAGAATGTCATTTTCATTGAGACTGCAGAAAAGAAAAAACTATCCTAAAGAACTCTTTATGCAGAAGTTGTCCATCTTGAACATACTTCTGCTGTAAACCAAGTGCTGCCAACCCCCACTAAAACCATAAGGTAATACAGATCCTTATTCTAGGTCTGGATGACTGCTTAAGCCTGCCTCCAATGAAGCCAGTGGGAAATTAGGACCAAAATAACTTCTGATAGGTTACCAACTCTTAAACTGGGAACAGTACGTGGTCTTTAAGATTTACATTTGATGCGAGTGAAAACATCTCTATTCCTTAATGCTGTGATACTTTAATATCAGTTGCAAAAGATGGTTTGAATTCATCAGGCTTGCTTTTTAAAAAAAAATGCTGCTGAATGTAACCAGAATATTATACTTGAGGCAAGTAGCACTACCTACTAGTAAGATAGCCTGACACTTCCTCTTAGAAGATGCTCTGTTCAGTTACAGCTTTGTCAAACTAACCCTGGTTATGATTCTGTCTATAGAAAAAGGCAGTAGCCTTTTGGAAGCCAATGGGATAGGTTGGGCAAGGAGACTGAGATGGAAGACAAGGAGGGAAATGGGGGCTGGATCTCAGAAACAAAAGATGGGAGAGAACATGGGATCTTAGAAGCAGTGGGATGAAGGGAAGGAACTGAAAGCAGAAGAGTTAGGATCAAATGAATAACTAGTTGGGCAAAGAAATGGCAGCAAGGAATCCAAACAGAAGGGGCACTAAGACAAGATGGAAAGCAAGCATTGAACTAATACAACTACAAGGTCCTCTTATCTCTTCTTGCAATCTCTTGCCTCATTTATTATACATTTTCAGTGTCTGCTACAAATGAGGCAGAACATCTATAAACAAATCTAATTTATTATACAAGCCTAATTCATCCCCAGCATAGGTCTACCCTGTGCACTAAATGAGGCAGGGGTCCTGTGGGGGAAAAAACCATGCAATTAGACTACCATGTGGATGGGAGTTGAATTAAGGTTGCACAGAATTTTCTGGTATTTATTAACTTTTTGAGTACTTGACTTTCCATCTTCACTAAAGTTTTTTTGGGGGGGGTTGTAATATAGCTTTATGTATGGCAATGAAAGTGGTTAGGGGGCTGGGGCAAGTGACTTGTGAGGAGAGACTGAAGGAAATTATTTAGTCTGGAAAAGAGAAGACTACAAGGGAAGTTTAGGTTAGACATAAGGAAAAACTCTCTCACAAAGAGGGTAGTAAAGCACAGGAACGGGTTACCCAGAAAGGTTGTAGACTCTCCATCCTTGAAGGTTTTTAAGACCAGGCTAGACAAAGCCTTGGCTGGGATGATCTAGTTAGGGATATTGCAAGAGGTTGGACTAAATGACCTCCTGAGGGCCCTTCCAACCCTGATTTTCTATGATTATAACATGCATAACATGCATATGAGACAAATGAGGAATGAGAGTATTTTATAAAATACCCAGTATAATCTGGGCTATCTGGAATCACTGGCAGGGGCTCTAGGGCAGGGGTGTCTAAGGTACAGCTTATAGGTCTCCTGAAGAAGCTGGGAATTTGGGGACAGAACAAGCAGGGATAGGGACCACCAACAAATCCCAGTGTGCAGAGACCTGCGGGTGATGCATGCTGGCAGTGGAGGGGAAAGCATTAACCCCTATGGCTCCCTGCCACTTCTAGCCCCATCATTATTACTGTTCTTCCCACCACTGGAAGTAGGTCCTGATCCAGCTTACAAGGAGCCCTGCAGTGTGAATCTGACCCAGAGGCTGGGAGTTTAACATCTCTGCTCTAAGGCAAATAAGTGGTGCAACCTTTTCCCATTCGTTGCCCTTCACTAAGATATTCCCAACACGCTTCATTAGTAATAGCAAACTTAAATGACAAAACAGCCATACATACATATTTCTGGCAGATGTCAGGGAATGTCATTTGACAGTCAAATGTGCTTCCATGCTCAACATTTTTTTCTGATAAAATGTAAGGAGGGATTTCTCTCACTGGATCTCAGTTCATTTTGGGACATAAGGAAGCCTCTTACTGTTTGAAAAACTGTATGTAAAAATAAGTAATTGTGCCCTGGAATAATTCTCATTATTATTACTATTTAATTTGTAGTGCAGTAGTTCCTAGGAGCCCCAGAAGTGGACCAGGGCCCCCTTATGCTGGGTTCAAACACAGAACTAAAATACCATCCTTGTGCCATAGCTTACAATTTTAGTAATAAGCTGTGGACCCCACTACCCCTGAACTTTGATAAATAGAAGTGCAAAATGTCCCCAGGTAGACAAACTACAGATAGCATTAGAAAGTATTATACAAGGCAAAATAGCTCTGTTTCAGAAACACGTAATATTTCATAGATTTCATAGACATTTGGGCTGGAAGGGACCCCACAGGATCGAGTCCAGCCCCCTGCCCCAGGGGCAGGAAGTCGGCAAGGATCATAGGATCCCAGCAAGATAAACATCCAAGTGTGTCTTGAAGGCATTCAAAGTGGGTGCTTGAACCACCTCCAGCAGCAGTCTATTCCAGACCTTGGGGGCTCGGACAGTAAAGAAGTTCTTCCTTATGTCCAGCCTGAATCGATCGTGGAGCAGTTTATGACCATCCAATCTTGTCATCCCTTGGAGCGCTCTGGTGAACAGTCGTTCCCCCAGATCCTGGTGAACACCCCTAATAAACTTATAGGTGGCCACCAGATCACCCCTGAGCCTGTGCTTTTCCAGGCTGAAGAGCCCCATGGCTCTCAGCCTCTCATCATAAGGTCTGTTTTCCTGACCTCTGATCATACGCGTGGCTCTCCTCTGTACCCACTCAAGCTTCTCCACATCCTTTTTGAATTGTGGGGCCCAAAACTGGACGCAGTACTCCAGCTGCAGCCTCACCAATGACAAGTACAACGGGAGAATGATGTCCCTGGATTTGCTTCAGATGCACCTATGAATGCAAGCCAGCGTTTTGCTCGCCTTACTAGCTGCAGCATCACACTGAAGGCTCACGTTCATCTTGTGGTTCATCATGACCCCCCCTCCCCAGTCCCTTTCATCTGTAGTGCTAACCAGTGTAGCACTGCCGAGCCTATAAGCATGCCATGGGTTTTTCCTCCCAAGGTAGAGAACCTAGCATTTTTTGGTGTTAAACACCATCAGGTTCTCATCCGCCCATTTCATGAGCCTGTCAAGATCTGCCTGG